CCCCACCAGGGGGCCCTCTTCCCTAGTGACTCTCAATTGGAGTAAGGAAGGCACATTCCCGAGCTACGCCCACAGTGGCTGCACCTGCTGCAACTCCACACAGAAAGGGGAGCTTTCATCCACTTTTCATCCATGTCTCTGCATCATACAGGAACCTAGAGAGGGACCCCAGGGACAGGCACATTCTTGGTTGCCTTAAGTGTGGTCCAGGAAAACTACTCCACTAATGGCAAGGGCCTTGGGATACAGAGTTAGAGGTTCGAGCAGTCCATCATCTGAGAGGAAAAGACCCAGAGAGGGGGACCGGAGTTGGGCAGGCAGAGCTGCACGTCAGAAAGTGAATGTGAGGTGGCTGGGTCTCTGTGCCACGAAGAGGTGGTCACACCAAAACGAAGAGGTTTACAACCGGGGTTTCTGCCAAGAGCACGTGGACCAGGCCTGCACCTTGAGAGAGCTCAGGAAGCTCTGCCCACAAGAAGAGCCCCTTGGTAATCCAGGGGACAGAGGCGTCCTGTCTTGGCTGTGAAGCAGGAGCTGGGAAGTCCTGGATGCAGCAGCTCAGCTCAGGGATGCACAGCTCAGCTCCGAGCCCGCCTTGCCATCCCCTGCCCCCTCCCGCATCCCGTTAGGGTTGTCAGTGATGTTGGGCTCGCTGGAGCATTGCCGGTGGCGGGGGGGAAAGTGGGGCGACAGGACCAGGCACTCGTCCTCGCTGCCAGCCCCCTCGCCTAAGCCTGAGTGCATTCTGGTGGCCACAGCCAGCAGCTGGATGTCCGAGTGGGCGTTGGCCACCGTGTGCCGCCGAACACCGCCGCACTTCTCCAGGTAGGCTTCCCCCTCCTGCTCAGTCAGTGGGGTCAGGGCCATCTCATTCGACGGCCGGCTGCCTGTGGTCGTTGGGGAGGCACAGTTCAGAAGAGTCACCTTGGGCCGTACCCTGGAGTGGCGCCTGGCTGCAAGAGAAAAGCCAGCAAAGGCCATAACTGGGGGGGTCATGGTGCCCCAAAGCATCTATTAATCTGGGGAAAGACTGAGGAGGTGGCTCAACCTTCAGCAGTGGGTTCAGTGCAGCCCTGCTGAAATGCAAAGAAAGCAAACACAAAGAGGAAGGCTGGGCATGAATTATTATAAAACTGCTGCTTCTGTTGGGCCAGCAGGTGGCATGGTGGTTAAGGTGCCAGACTCCCATGTGGCTAACTGCAGTTCGAGTCCCAGACCTGGTTGCTTGAAACTCATGCCAGGTGCATGTGGTTACTTCTCACTGTCCTCATCTCTACCTCTCTCTGGTGCGCACATGTGCCTATGGCAAAAAACAAACAAACAAAAAAGAAAAACTGCTGCTTCTTAAGTGCTCACCATGTTCCAGACACTGTGCTAAATCTTCACATGCATCTTTTGAATTCTCCCAAAAACGAAACCTAAGTTATAATATCATTAGCTCCCACCTAAACTCCTCAGAGGCAATAATCTACCCAAGGTCACACAGAAGGGACACAGACAAACCAGAACTCAAACCAAGTCTCTCTCTCTCTCTTTCTTTCTTTTTTTGGAGAGGTTTTTGCTATAGGGCGCGTGCGCTCGCCAGAAAGACAGAGAGACAGAAAGTGAGAAATCACCCCCCAGGGGGGATGGCCACGCCACTATCCCTTCTCCTCCATTCTCCTCTCAGGATCTTGGGCACGCACGCACACGCGCCAGGCGTGAGTTTAAGCCACCGGGTCTGGGACTCAAACCGTGGTCGACTACATGGGAGTCCAGTGACATAGTCATTACGCTAACTGCTGGTCCCAGGTCTATCTCTCTTCAGACCTCGCTCTTCCTGGCTGTCCTCCAAATTTTTCATGCTTTTCTTTCACAATGACAAAACAGGAAAGCACAGGAGAGCCGCGGAACTGTCCAGATCTGGGTGATGGCTTCAAGTGAACATGACCTTTCTGAAAATGAAGGGAGGAGTTGAGGGGGTGGTGAATGACTCTCACATGATCTGCATGCAGGGTGGGAGACAGCGGCCACCTAAGGTGACGATAAACTCACATCTAACATGGAGGGTAGCACATCAGCATGCCAGGTACTGATCTGAGAACATTGTGCATGTGAGTAAACCAGGTCTTCTCAACCTACTGAGGCAGTGCTGTTCCTATTCCTGCCACCATGGGAGGCTCGATGACATGTCCAGTGACGATTCCGAGCTGGACGGGACCTAGGCTCAGCTTCCGGAAGCCCAGCGTCTTACCCAGTGAGCCCACTGTCTCTCGGAAAGGAAGGAAACTCCGGACAGGCTGGAGAGGTGGGAGAAAGATCAAAGCAGCTGGCTAGCCACACCTGAGAAGGCCCCAGAGAAGAAAGTAGATCCTCCAGCAACACCCCGATTCCCCCCACCCCTCAAGGGCTGTGCCCATGAAGAAACTTGCACAATGCAGAGCCCAGAGAAGGGACCACAGCAAGCCTGCCCCTCACAGGCACCCCACCTCTTCCACGCTAGGCCCAGCATCCACACCATGAGACCACCGTGTGGC